TAATGTTAATATCTTTTGTATCTGTTTTTTTATTTAGAGTATTTTCTTACTGGTTAATATAAAACATTTCTAAAGAACATCTTTTGAGTAATCCTCTTCTGTTGCTAAAATTTTAAAATTTTCAAAATTCAAAAAATATTTTACTGAGACAGTTGTATGTAAAATAAAAGGGGATATTGAAAAAATAATTAAGCATCTCAATATTTTTATATTGTGGTTAGAATGAGGGGTAGAGATATTGTTATTATAAAATATTTGATTTTATAAATATAAATTTCCAGTTGCCGTTACGTCAATTCATATTCACGTACTTGTATCGCATATCTATGCCAGAATAGTAACTTTCCGACTAGGAACTATGTAATATCCATATATTTAAGCATTTTTAAAATAGATCTAAAATCGCAGTGGATCAGAAAAATTCCGGTCGGTCTAGCCGCTACAGACAAAAACACTGCTCGCTTCGCTTGCCAAGTACCGCCGACAACAGAAGAGACAACTTATAGAAAATTTTATAACTAACAGCACATTGTGAGACTCGAATTTTCCCCAAAAAACATTGTATAGAACGATTAGACCGGTGAGTGATCCGCAAGTACAAGTTGAAAAGAGTAAACAGTGCTTTACAATTTCGTAAAAAATTTACCGGAAATAAGTGTAGTGATGATGTTTCATTTGGTAATTTCGCTGAATTTGTGAAATTACTGAGTGAGTGTGAGTACAAATAGGCGCCGTGTAGTCGTCGGCTTGGGAGTCGACAAAGTGGCTGCTTTCGCTGTTGGCTGTGCATCGTTTTTTCCACAAGTCCCAGATATATACAAAATTAACCAAAGCTCGATCACGCTGTCCGTCGGCTTACGTCATGAGATATTCATATGTAATGTGTAATGTGTACAAGTGAAGTGTAGACGAGAGAATTGCATGTACATGTGTGTTGTAAGAGTGACTATAACATTAAGACATCAGGTAATTTCAGTATTCAAACGAAACGAAACGATTCAACTGATAAAAAAAGTATGACTGACATCTGGTTCCTTTGATAAAATGTCATATTAATTCTTGGAACACCTTCGACTCGTTTTGTTTGGCTAATAGTCAATTTTTAAATTACTTACTTTATAGGTATTCCCTATATAAACAACTTTATTCGACATATACAATTGCACTTAAAAGGGAATAAATAGCACAAGTTTATAAAAAAAGTCTATTGCTATAATTATTAAAATGTTGTTCTTGGTCCTAGCCTAGAGAACATCATCAGTTCGATCACCCCTTATAGCGGCACAAAAAGATAAAAAAAAACATTAATGAAAGAACACGTTCACCAAATTTCGTTGTCCGTCTTTTCTTAAATTTGAGAAAAAAATTAAGTTCTATATTTTTTACTACCTCTTTGGAACGGCATAATGCTTAGTGCAGAGAGGGACGTTCGGGGTTTATTTACGTGAAAGACGTTCACAAATTTTTAAAGAAATGGTAAACATCACATCAACGATTTGATATTATAGCTAAAGTTTCATTATTCCTGTTCGACTAAATACATATTAATATTTATTAATACAGGTAGGTACATGAAAAATCACAAATATCTGTATTATGGCGAGTGCGTAGAAAATAAAAATATATACAGAGCATTTTCTATGTACATCAATATGTTTAATTTTGTCTTCCTCTGATGTAATTGAACAAAATGATATCTTTCTGATTGGTAATACGCAAACACTTGTTCGAGTACTTAAGATAAGGTGTCGCAATGAATTATTTTTATTGTATTTTTAGACGTCTATGTAAAACAGAGAGCGCGTAAAATGTATTTACATATCACAAGGTTAATCTTGTAAAAGATAAGAATCTATCTAAGTAAATCGTAAATCGTAATGGCAACATATTTTTTAAAATTATTATTACAGTTGTAAAGTTTATAAAACACACGTATTGAGGATACTTAGGTATACGAAATTTGAAACTTAGTCCACTCTATAATTATTACAAATGATACCGCCTAAAACAGTAACAATTATAACGTTAACATGTCAAATATAATGATATTGTTTCCGGAGTTGCCGCTTTTGCATAATTATTAGCCTAAGTTGAATATCAATCAAAGGTGTATTTTTTAATTTTATAATTTACCTACTTTCAACATTTTATTCATTATCTCTGTTTACTCTGCTCATCACATCATAAAATATAAATTTCGGAAAAACATTTTTTCTTTTAATAAATAATTCATTTGAATTTCATTTAACGTAGGTACCTATCGTATTTTAACATAATACGATGAATTAAATTAACGCATTGGTGTCATTTTTATTGATTCTTCCTTCAACAATTATAAATTTCGCCAGGAATTTGTACATTTAGGTAGAATCTGGCTCTAAAACTTTGCTAGTTTTTTTAATCTAAAAGTTATTCTGTTCTATAAAATTTAATAACTGTTAAAAATTAATTACACATTTATGAACAAAAGAAGCAGTTTTAACAACTACATATATGTTTGTGTATATTCGTATCTTACTTTACATAAAATTCCTAATTAGTTAAATATCTGAAACGTATTGCATTGAATAAGTGATGTAATTAAAGACTTAATCATTAATATATCATTTCAATACAGACAACTATGGTATACGATTGTGGTGTTCTAATAAACGTTATGCAACAATTATATAGTACAATATATTAATTAAAATATGTACGTAAATTATTTTTAAATTACTGCAATAATTCATTTTAGCGTAAGTTGTGTAAAAGTATATTAGGATTAGTTACATCTTCAGCGTGTCTCGGTATTTACCATCTTTAGGGCCTATAAAATCTAAATAGAACCGCATTTCTTTATGACAATTTAAATGTAACAAAATCCCACATTAATAAAGTTTTATGAATTTATGTGAAATCTTGTAATGTCATACAAGACCAAATATGATGCTGTCGTATTGCTAAACGTATCATCGCAGTGTGCCCAGTATCACTTCCAACCTAACCATAGTGTTTCAACTAAATTGAAGACGGTCTCGTAAGTTTTTTATACTTGAGTTTAGTACAGTACAATATTTTAGACCTTTTTATTTTACTGATTTTTTGCCACATTAAAAAAAAACAGAACAAAAAGAACTGTCGCATTTGACTTCCGGTCACCCTATTTGAATACTTTAATAATGAAAACTGATCAAATCTTTCATATCTAAAGTAGGCTAGTAGTATGCTACAGTGTTTTCAGTGAAAATAAAACATTTATCTACTTTTCCAAATGCGAAATATTGCCGGTTAGACCAATATTGATTATTTTTACGCAATGGGTTACTTAGTTAAAATTCTTTTGTTATCCGTTAATAAAAATCGTACCTACATACCTACCCTATGTACCTACTTACATAATGTAGGTATATCTTTTTCAATAGTGATTTTTTGATTTTTATTAAATAATTTTAATTTGCAGATTTAACTATTATAGGTACGTATATAAATGGTAGATGTGCATTTAAGAACCACTTTAAAATGTTGTTAATGACGTTATCTTATAATTTCGAGTTCTTTAAAAGCAAGATAAGGTTAATTTTTATCTGGTAATGCGTCAAAATAGCTAATAGATTATTTAATAACAGATTTAAAAGATTACTTAAATCATTAAATGTAATACTGGCACCACTGCCTTGCCAACTTCTAACTGTTATCAAATAAAGTTCGATAAATAACAATATAGGTATAAATACATTCAGAAGTCTGAGCACCTGCTGTTGGTAATATATTTCGTCACGCTGTAAATGTTTACTCTTATCGACCGGGCCTGCAAGACGTGTGTGCCGCTGTAGCTGTGCTGTACTCGCTGTAGTTTCCCCAGTGATTTCTCCGCTGTTGATCCGATAGTCGTGTCTGGTGTTCGGAATTTGTCTTTGAAATTTGACACTTGACAGTACTTGAAAATTCGCCCTTGTTTGTGTGTGATACACATTTTAGTGTACTTAATTTCTACATTAAAATGTTTTAATATCGCAGTACAACTTAAAAAAATATTTTATAAAGAGACTGGTAAGCAAATTACATATTGTTTTTCATCTAATAAAATAGGTTAGGTTCATGAACCGTATGAACCGTAATGATTCGCTATGAAAATAGACTTGACAATAATTGATAATTGATACATCTAGAGTAGATGTGTTTATAGATATGTCACCATAACTTATTACTAGCATTCCTGATTTACAATTATTTGTAGGTATTATACAGTTCTTGATTTACATAAAATTAAGTTACTAATTAGTTGACGGACATACTAAATTAGCTGTAAGGTTATCAGAGTGAACTCACTTCTCATTAATAGTTGGTTTATAAAAAAGTATTAGTCCTAACTTAGCCGTAACTTAACCTTAATCTTAGTCCTAGAAAGTTAAATGTACAGAATGTAATGTATTGGTTTATAAAAATCTTAACCTTGCCCTAGTTCTATACATTACATTTTGTACATTAACTTTTTAGGACTAAGATTAAGGTTAAGTTATGGCTAAGTTAGGACTAATACTTTTTTATAAACCAACCATAAGGAATAATCAAGTCTGTCTATCCCAAGGCGTCAAGTGTTTAGAAAAACTTTTTTATCCCATTCTAAAGCCTATTGTATTAAGTTTTACTAAATATTTCATTACTTGAATTACTTTGCAATAAAGAACTATAATATATAATGTAGTGTAATACGTGTGTACATTTAGTAGTAGACGCAATGGAATTTTGTGAAAATATTTTCATTAGGAACATTAGGAGATACACAAATATAAATATATATATATATATATATATATATAAAATACAAATATTGTTTAAAAGTCTTCTATGTACATATACTACTGAATGATATTTTTTTAGTGATAAACTCGAGTGGCTTAGATCAAAGTCCTATAGCTTTCAAGTTTTTTCATATAGTAGATAAAGTTCTACAAATATTTGGTTAAGAAGTATCACATAAGTCACATAGATTTTTAATGCAGAGTATTGTGTTCCAGATCTTGCATTAAGAAATGGCTACGATAGACGGCCGTCCCGCACAATATGGAATCACCCTCAAACAGCTACGTGACCTTATGGAACATAGAGGTCCAGATGGGATAGCAAAAATTCAAGAATTAGGTGGGACACAAGAAATATGTAAAAAATTGTACACATCGCCCAGTGAAGGTATGTTTTATATAATTTATTTGTTTTTTAAAGTTGAAAATTGTTATGGGAAAATTGATTTTGTTGGAAAACTGAATGCTTTGTTATTCATGTGGAATAATATATATACATTCAGTTAATGGACTTTTTTTTAATGTTGAAATTTTGACAGTTTTGGAAATTATTCTAAGAATAAAGCTAATGCAATTACACCATAAATCATTAAAGAAATAATTGTATTTTATTGAGAACTGGTTCCCAAATAATGATTTATCTGATAGAGATGTGTAAGTTCGTGAACTAGCCCAAATGAACTATTCCCTTTGGGGAACTAGTTCACCAATTGTTCCACGTCTAGTTCACTGTGAACTAAACAATATATACAGCTTCACTCCCTCTATTAGCGCACACAAAGGAACAAGTAAAAGAAAATAACTAACCGCATGACAACTATCGGACTCAGGCCAGAGGAAGGAACGAGAAATAATAGACAACAGATTTACACTGTCCGGGTTAGAAAAACGAGATAGTGGCATAAGGCATTATATTATATTTAGGTAAAATACATGGATAGATTTTTGATCTAGGAAAGAAATTATTATGGTAAACAAGATTAACCATACTACAAGCGAGTAATATTTTAAATAACAGAAAAATAAGTTACAATTTTGAATATTTTATGCTTATAAAATTGTTAGACAGGAAAAATAGATAGATATTTTTGATAAATATTTTTCAAAATAAATAATATCGATTGATCTAATTATTAATGAATAATTGTACAAAAATAACTAACTAATAACTTTTTTGTTTAGAGATTTAGTAATTAACATGTTTTATATTAGTTAATAATCCAGAAATAATTTTTTTCTTATGAGGAGTACAACCTAACCTTTTTAACTATCTGTTGAATTATTATAACTTCTAATTCTAACACGTATCTTAAAAAAATTACATAAACCCTCTAGTTTTTCAACAGGTTTGTGTTTATACGTTCCATTATATCCATTAGTAGATGAAGAAGCATGTGAACTGAAAAACTTGTTCCGTGAGCTATTTATTCATTTTAGTGAAGGAGACTGGGTGAACTAGTTCCCGCAAAGAATTCCTTCTATGAACCTCTAATTTATGAGTTTATATTTACGATATTATTTTATTTAGGACTTAGCGGATCACAAGTTGACCTCGAACACAGAAGAGAAACATTTGGATCAAACTCAATTCCTCCAAAACCACCAAAAACATTTTTGCAATTAGTGTGGGAAGCTTTACAAGATATAACTCTTATTATTCTAGAAGTAGCAGCCATAGTGTCTTTGTTGCTTTCTTTCTATCAACCATCTGCAGAAGAGACAGGTAAACATACGCATTTGACTTAACTTAAACACTAATTATTTACTTAAATTCTCGTAAACAAATATCTATTGAATTATTTTCATTTTAGCATTTGAGGATGATGAAACAAGTCATGGGTGGATAGAAGGTCTAGCTATATTAATTTCAGTTATAGTGGTAGTATTTGTAACAGCTTTTAATGATTATACAAAAGAAAGACAATTCAGAGGGCTACAAAGTCGAATAGAGGGAGAACACAAATTTTCCGTTATAAGACAAGGAGAAGTTAAGCAAGTCTCTGTCAGTGATATAGTTGTAGGTGATATTTGCCAAATTAAATATGGTGATCTTTTACCGGCTGATGGAGTTTTGATTCAATCCAATGACTTAAAGGTAAGTGTTACGGCTAATGACATGCTTTTTCGTGTCGTTTATTTTCTAATTATTTTAGATAGATGAGTCTTCGCTGACAGGCGAATCTGACCATGTGAAAAAGGGTGAAAGTTTCGATCCCATGGTATTATCTGGTACTCATGTTATGGAAGGTTCTGGTAAAATGTTGGTATCTGCTGTTGGAGTAAATTCTCAAGCTGGTATTATTTTTACACTTTTGGGAGCTGCTGTTGATCAACAAGAAGCAGAAATAAAAAAAATGAAGAAAGGTACGTTACTATTCACTATAATCGCATGTATGTAAATGGTTGATTCCCCAAGACCTCTCATTTATAAATATTTTCTTAACAGGAAGAAAACGTTTAAATTTGCATTTAAGTCTAAGTGTATTTATTATTGTTAGTTGCACACCCTTTTAAATGTATGTAATAATATTCCCTTTATATTCCATAGATGATTGCAAATTGCAAATGCAAATGTGTACGGGAACACTTTAGGTGACTGCCCTAATGGAAATATTTGTTTTACACTTCATTGGTTTTTTTTTCGGTACATACGTACACACACACACACACAGTGNTCTTCGGCTTTTTGCTTTTGTTACCATGCCATTTTGGCTGTATTCCTATAAAAATAAACAGATTTGTTAGGCATACATATTTTTTAACTATATAAATATAAACACAGCTTTACTTTTTTTATATAAAATAGGATAAAAAATGTGTTAAACTCTTACCAATTGCAATACATTGTCCTCCCTAAGCAAGTACCTGTTGCTGTCGGAAAGCGGCCTGGCGGAGAATTTTCCGCTAATGTTACGCAACATTTCTTTGAATGCTTGATACTGTTCAGCCTCTCTTTTTCTCTCGTTTAGCATTTCTGCTAAAGATTCGAGTTGGGTAAGGGCCAACTGAAGGGACATCCTATCATGATGGCCATGCGGAGTATGTTTTAAGAGATCCTACAAACCGGAAGATTTCAAGAAATGCAAACTAAAAATATTCTGCAATATTACCTGTAGAAATAATATGAACTGTGGAAATCTCTGCACTGGTTTTACCATTAGTCCAAAAAATGATAACCGATCATGTGAACTGATCTGCTTCACCTAAAATTGATAACACAGAATATTATCATAATAAAATTGAATTATTAATATTTACCTTCAAAAAATCTGCCAGTGCAGATTTTCGTTTTGCTTCCATTTTTGCTAAGTCCATAGCAACGGAAAAGTTGTTGATAAAACCACTGTAAATGTCCAGCACAATAGCCTTTGAGAATGACGCTACAAAAACGTCCCCTATCCTCTCATCTCGATCCCAATTCCTTATACATTCCGCTAAAGCTATCCTGAACAAAGTATGGCACTGTAGTATCTCTGGTAGTCTGTGGAAGAGGGTGGAGATTTTTGAACCGCTGAGCACTGGCGGACTGCTCTCTTCGAGTGGTTTTTTGTAGTCCTGTGAAAAATGTGGTCAAAGTTATTCCCTCACATACATTCATTCATTTATTAAACTTTTATTTTATGAAAATAATGCTACAAAATGAATTGGTGAAATTAAACTCAAAATTTTAATACCACCGCAAGTGGTTACAAACAAAACAGTTGTGGCATCGTAATAAAAATTGTGCAAACTGAGCTAAATTTTATTAACTTACATTTACGAGCCTCTGAAGAGTGGCGATATATGAATTCTCACTATGTACAATTGCAGCAACGATCATCCTCCTTTTAAGTTGCTGCGGGGTTAAGTTTGGGGGTGCTGGTGGCAAACTAGGAGGCACTTGCCGCCTTTGGGAGGGGGTGCAATTCGGGAAATGGAAGCCTGTCTCCTCTTCCACCTAATAATTTAAGCGTTAACACTCTAAATATACATACCTTTTTTTAAATATATATTTTTTTTAGCTCTTGTACTTTTACTTTACTTTAAAGATATTAAGATTAAGCTAATTTAAAGTGATTCTAATTCCCATCTAATAAAGTCATATTCAGGTTTGGCCACTGCTTCATTACAATGCTGGCTATAATGAGAAAGAAAGAAATGAATAATACGCATCCAAACATTTAAGTATTGTGTTGTTGCAAACAGATTCTGCTTGTTGCTAATATTCAACATGATATGGCAAGTGCTGTCACTAACACTATTCAAAAACGAGCTATAGAGATGACCCTATGACTTGGGACACCCCATACAACAATTTTAGTAAAACATTTATAATTTATTTGAATTGGGTTCATACTATAACAATCATTCATTATAACGGAAAATGCCCAAATCCTCACAAAACTTTTCCTATTTTCCTAATTTCGAGGGCGCTGAACACGAATCTAAAGTTTTGTGCGATCGAAGCCAGTCTTCGAAAAAAGAAATTATAGACCTATGCTTTATACATTACAATTATCACTATTTAGAGCACCATGTAGCCTAAATAAACGTAAAACATATATGTATTTGAAGATTAAAGGAAGAATGTATTTATTTAATGCATTATTATCAATTATTAGTCCTTGGTGTTCAATTCACCATATCGTTACGTGACGTCATACATCATGATTCTAATTTTAACCCTTCCTTGTTTGTGATATTCTATCAACTGCTAAATCGTACCACACGTGCTATTTCAAAGCGACGTGCGTGATCTAGATGATTACGGTTATCTTTAGAAATAAGTTTACCAAGTATAGCAAATTTATTTCTAGGGGTAGCAAACGGATTAAAAATGATATCTGGTGAAGAGAAATTTTTTAACCCTTATAATCACTTCGTCAATAAAAAACTTTAATAATTTAGCATAGCAAACGACTGAGATATTATGTTTGTAAACAACAAGGTAAATAGATACAGGGTCGGAAAGTCCCCATGGTTCATCGGTCGTTACGTGAGAGCGATAAAGAGAGTCATAGAAATACGTGCGATAGAGAAAGATGGCTATAATGAAAGCGCCTATTTCGCCCTTCCACAAATAAGATCCACTTCTTATTTTAAGCCTTTTAATCTATCGATAATCACAATTCTCTAAGAATTTGTATATAAAGATAAGATTAGGTTAATTAAGTTATATCTTATTTAACATAAAAAAACACTGACCTAACCTATTATCTCTATGTAGATAGATACATTTGTATATAGAGTTAGATTAGATTAAGTCAGGTTAAGTTCATCTGATATTATATTACATTTTAAAAAAAGTATATCATTAAATAGATAGACTTTACAAACGTAATACCTATTTCATTTATATTCCGATTAAGTTATGAAAGTATGTTATTGGCCAAATGAACATAAAAGTTACATAAATCTATTTACTGCCCCTAGAAATATATTTGCGATACGTGATTAATTAGTAACCTTATTTCAGATGACGACAAATAGTACATATGTACATTAAATTAATACATATACGTATTTTTTCTTTAAACTTCTGAAAATATATATTCCAAGAATTATTCGATCTTTAGTTACATGTGTGGCTATATAGTGTTGTAAAAAGTGATAATAGAAGAGTTGTATGAAGTTACAATGTTGAATATTATTTTTCGAAAACTAAATTCGACCGCACAAAAATAACTGCAGATGAGAGATCAGTACTCCAGAAAATAGGGGAGCCGGAGATATTTTGTGATTTCAACTGAGGTAAATAATTACCAATATCTTTAAAATAAAGTTAAAAAACTTAAAAAAAAAATATTATTTAAAAAAAATAATAAATTGAAATCAAACCGAAAAAAACTTACTAATAGAATGTTGAAACCTACATTTTGGTATTTTCGGGACACACAGCCAGACTAAACATATAAACCTCTTAACTGGTTGTGGAGATGATGGATATGTCAGCGAATTTGTAATAATATTTCAAGGCGGGCGTTATATTAGATGTGAATTTATGAAAAATCTGTTCGAAATTACACAAATTCTTAACAAATTATTCATTCATATAGAGCGGTTATAGACTTTCGTTGTTAAAATCAAATTGTTTAATACTGTAAGATAACTATTTAGGTATTGTTTTAATCTGACGTTTCGCCTTATGGTTATGATAAATATATTCGCTTCCTAATTTTTTTACGCGCTTTTCGTGGATAATACGCTTGCTATAAACAATATACAGGGTGAATCACAACTTATTCCAAGAAACAAATTATTGAAATTGTAGTACCTTCAACCATTACATAGCTGGACAACTGTAGTCTCTAGCGTAAATCGTAAAACGCGTGGAGTCACGTGGCCTCAGCGTCTCCGAATATTAAAATCCGATTTTACAGTCGTCGTTGCCATAGTGTTTACAAAAGTTGTTTAGTAGTTAGTGCCAAAAATTCTATTTATTCCTTTCCTTGCCAAAGTTTTTGTCCGTTTTTAACACTGCCACCATCGCCGGCGCCGTGACGGTCGCATTGTACCAGGTCAGTTTTACAGTTTCCAGTGCCGTGCAGAATGCAGTAGTGTATTTTTAAATCATTTTCGAACTGGCCTTTTTGATTTTTTCTTTACAAAATTGTATTTGTAAGAGTCCCCTGGACATTTTTTTTTTGGATAAGTTCTGAATCACCCTGTCTGTGTAGACAATCAGTCAAACTTATACTATCTACAAAATTCCTGTCACCCTTATTTATAGTGTAAATAAGGTATAATTAAGATATACCAGGAGAAAATGCTCAATGAACATGACTGATATCTACGCATGTGATTTTCCGTGCCATTGCATTCATTACAGCAGTAACAATACGTTGCGTACCAGTTAAGAGGTTTATTTTTATCTCTGAATCTATATTTAGAGAACTTTTCGCTCACCTCCGGTAGCTGGGGCATCTTGTTGCCCTGTGCCGCCCTCTGAGCGTCGGCGTTCTCGATGTCATACTGGTGGTTGTTTCCCCTCCTGATGGAGAACCACCTGGACAGGCGGCCGTGGTTCTGGGGGGACGTGTCGCCCGGCAGGGCGCTGCCGTCCAGCGACAACCTGTTGCCGGCGCCTATGATGCCGCCCCCGGTGCTGCCCCGCCACTTGTCGCACAGCGTGCGTGCTTTGTTCAACGTGTTGCGCAACTGACCATTGCTCCTGGAACATAAAAATTAAGATTTTTAAATAGGTTTCAGATGCAATTATCCTTATAGTGACCCTTTAATCCAGGAAGCAATAAACTTCGACGAAAAATTCGCTAACCGTTCGTTCCGCAGGTGGAGATTTGCATTTATATCGGTTTCGCTTCAAGAGATTTTCTAATTTGGATTCAGATTAGAAGTAATAAAAGGGCCCTTAACCGCACGTTACTTGCATTAGTCATTCGGATATGTGGAATACATTTACAGTGAGAGAATTCCATTAGCATTAAAGGTGCCAAAGGTGGTATCGGTGAATGAAAGGTTTTGGTGGGGTGGCAAATACACGTAACGTTGAAATCTTAAATTAGTCATAGAGCAGTCAGAAACAGTTTCCAACCATTATACGCATGTGTAATATCCAGAGTGTAACTTTAAGTGGGGATCAATATTTGAGGGGTAATGGTACGTGTTCCTCAGAGAACTAATCTGAAATTATTTGTTTTTATCAATAGTCGACCTAACTGCATTTAAACACCCGAATATTAAAATAAAAATAGGTTTTCAAAAAAATATATTTTTGCTAAAATTGGTATGTGGACATACACTAGATACTAATAATTATATGTGAAACTAATTTATATTTGAAAATATTTATTTTTGCTGTTTTATGTTACTATTTTATTAAAGCACTATGTTTAGAGTGATAATTTTTAATATGTGATGTATGTTTTTACTAAAATTGCAACAGGATTTCTATAGTGCAGTGTTTCATTAAGTTATATTTTATAGTATAATTTAAACCGGTAGTAAGGAAAGTGTTTTATGTAGTTTAAGTGAATAACCTTATTAATAAAGTTCGGGACTCGGTCGGATGATGAAAGCCGTCCCGTCGGCCTTTCGCTACAGCGCATCGTACGATATCGGTAATAACGGCAGTTAATGGCTTCGAGCTTGCTTCGTGTACAAGTGATTATAATGCCGAACGTGCGAAGGGGTAAAAACGACCTTTCTCTGATAAAGTATGCAAATTTATCTATTTTTATTTATACCTACATGTTTATTTATTTGTTTTCGATGACACGCCTATGACTAGCCGACGAAAACGCCGAACTCTACTTATTAATAAGCTACTTACTTATGTTAATTAACGGTACGATGTGTTTATGTGTTTTCATTGTTAAGTTTCTGTGTGATATTAGGAAAAAACGTGTGTATAAATCAGTAAAGAAAATATCTGACATCAATACATGCCAGGTGCATGTTTTTCAAAATATACGGACTCTTTAACTGTTCAAGAATAGTAAATATTCTATTTACCGACGTTATTTTATATATACAGGGTGTTTATTATGTACTTGTATAAACTTTAAAGGGTGAATTTTTGACTAATTTTAAGATAAAAAGTTCATATGAACATGGGTCCGCAACGGTTTGGTTCTTGAGATACTTCCAAAAAAAAAATGTTTTATTCGGCAATTATTGTAAATGTTATTAACTTATCTTTAGCAGTAGTTTAGTCGTAGTCTTGTAAATGATCTGAATGAAGTTTGTCACATTGCAATACAATCGATAAAATACATTTTTTCACTTATTTTTCAAAAACTCTTGACGATTCAACTTACAAAATTCCAACGCAGGTTTAACTTTAAACCCGTTTTTTTTTACAAAATGGCTACTTTCAGCGACGAATACTAGGAGTACCTTTTGTACGTAAACTTGAATGGAGTATAAGTATGTTTAGTCAAAAAGTGACATACAGTACGACACAAAAAAGTTATGATTATTCAAATCCAGGTACAACACTGTATGTGGCGCCTTCTATCATTAAACAAAAAATTAGTAAATATTTTGAGTTTCACATCATCGATACTCCCAGTTTCCCCAATTTCATCAAATTGCCACGTTATTGAACGAAAATATAATCAAAATACCAAAAAAAATTTTTTTTGGATGCCCTGTACCTCGAGAACCAAGCCATTGCGGACCCATGTTCATATGAACTATTTAGTCAAAGATTCACTCTTTAAAAGTTTGTACGGAGAACAAAATTATTAGTTGTCGGTGAGCCAGTAGTAATTTAAAAAAAGTATAAAAATACAAATTAATGATATAGGTACTATTTTTTTATTTATGCTTACGTACGTATTGCAGAAAATGATGAAAGACAACAATTTGGTAAGGCATTTGGATGCCTGTGAAACTATGGGCAACGCTACAGCTATTTGTTCGGATAAAACTGGTACGTTAACAACAAATCGAATGACTGTTGTACAGTCCTATATATGTGAACAGCTCTGTAAAACGATGCCTAAATTTTCTGATATACCTGGTCATGTCGGCGAACTAATAATTCAGGGAATTGCTGTGAATTGTGCATATACATCACGCGTTATGGTAAGTTAATATGCAACTTTTTCCATTATTTGCCATATTTCAGGAATAGTTGAAAAAACTAATTACTCACGTCTTTGATCAGATGATGTCTGATGAGTCTTATCTATTTTTTAAATGAAAAATTATAAAAGTAACAATTCTGTTTTCGTAATTTAAACTAATCTCATTTCTAGCCTCCAGACGAAGTGAACGAACTGCCAAAACAAGTTGGTAACAAAACGGAATGCGCTTTGTTAGGATTCGTGCAAGGGTTAGGAAAAAACTACCAGACGATTAGAGATGACTATCCAGAAGAGACCTTTACAAGGGTATACACTTTCAATTCTGTAAGGAAGTCCATGAGCACTGTTATACCTCGTGCCGAAGGAGGTTATAGATTATTTACTAAGGGTGCTTCAGAAATTATATTACACAAGTAGGGATATATTAATATAACGGAGAAACCATGTGACGCTGATTTATTTTACTTCTTTTAGGTGTGCCTTCATTTATGGTCATGATGGCCGTCTGGAAAAGTTCACACGAGATATGCAAGAAAGGTTATTAAAGCAAGTAATTGAACCGATGGCTTGTGACGGTTTGAGAACTATATGTATCGCCTTCAGAGAGTTTGTACCTGGCAAAGCTGAAATCAATCAGGTACACATAGAGAATGAACCCAACTGGGATGACGAAGACAATACAGTCAACAACTTAACATGCTTATGTGTCGTTGGCATTGAGGACCCTGTACGTCCAGAGGTACCTGATGCCATTAAGAAATGTCAAAAAGCTGGTATTACCGTGAGAATGGTTACTGGTGATAATGTGAATACTGCTAGGTCGATAGCAACAAAATGCGGAATCGTCAAACCTAATGAAGACTTCCTCATATTAGAAGGCAAAGAGTTCAACAGAAGGATTCGTGATAGTACTGGGGAAGTAAGTAAACATTGTCCACACGAATTGCAATTTGGTCCTTTTTTTTACATTCTTCCCTGTGTTTTTTTAGGTGCAGCAGCACCTGCTCGATAAAGTTTGGCCTAAATTACGAGTTCTTGCTCGGTCATCACCAACTGACAAATATACATTGGTAAAGGGTATTATCGATAGTAACATAAGTGACAACAGAGAGGTCGTAGCGGTGACCGGTGACGGTACCAATGACGGGCCTGCTCTTAAGAAAGCCGACGTTGGATTTGCTATGGTAATATTAAGTTTAAAGAGAATCGGGGGGGGTGAAGCGGGACGGGGGGCCGTATACTTACTTGCTTGCTTGTAGATATCGAGAATAAAATCCAGTTTAAAATATACATAAATAAATGCCATGCATTGCAATAGAATCACGGCGACAGCACACGAGATGCTGAATTTATTATTTCTAAGTTGACGGTCCGGATTAGGTATCGCAAAAAATAATTATATCTCGATAATACGAAATTGGTTGCATTTTTCCGTAGCACCCGATCCTCTTAATAGTATTAGGATGGATATATACAGGGTGTTTCAGTTCGGGTGAATCATACTTTAACCACAAATAGAAATAATTCGGAATTGCCATAAAAAGCAATGGTCTTAAGTCTCATCATTTTCACTGTACCAGGGGCGTATTGGTCGGTTGTTAAAATCGTATTATTTACGAAATCTTTGGTATGCTTATAACAAATTGATTCAATTTTGGTGTAAAATTTACAAATTTTTATAGGTCACTGGCGTAGGAACGGGTAGTAAATGGGATTTTTTTTTGCCACCAACTTCTACGCCAATGACCTAATAATCATTTGGGATTCATTTTTAGATTCCGTGGACAATTCAAACTGATATAGGGTATCGTTTTGCCGAAAATCTTAGTTGCACTTTGCAATTTTGAATTATTTATTGAGTCCCATTTGTGGTTAAAATTTGATTAACTCGAACTGAAACACCCTATATATATATATATATATATATATATATACAGGGTGATTCACAACTTATCCAAAAAATTTGATTGTACAGGGGACTTACAAATACAATTTTATAAACAAAACAAAATGTAAAACCTGACCTTTTGCAATGCAAAGCATGCAATCGGCGACCGGCATGGCGGAAAAGTGTAATAAAAATTTAACGGAGAAAAAATTGAAAGAATTTCCTAAGGAAAGAAATACATAGATAAAATTTTATAACACATATTTTAATCGGCAAATTCAACTGTTTTTGCCACTATTGTTATTATTAATTTGTAGTTTTAATTAATAAAGTAATTTGACCATACCTGATGTTACAACAACTGTTCCAAATTTTGTCCACCGACGTGTAAACACATTTGAGCATTTGATTTGTTGTCTTGCTTCACCTTAAATTAAAACGATATCCATTAACTCGAGTTGCTAAACACGTAAGCCATATTTTAAAAACTGATGTAGCCGCTACCACAAAACGTTAATACTACGCGAATAACGCCAGAGACTACAGTAGCCCAGCGATGTAACGGTAACGGAAACTATAAGAATTTTACAAACATTTTTTATAAGACATCGACTCAATTTTTCATGATGCCCAAATTTTTATGTGTGTATAAAAAAAAATTGACTATTTTTTTTTCCCCAAAAGCGACATGGAAAATATTGTTCAGGATGTCGAAAAAAGGATCCTGTTAAAATTTGAGCTTTTAATATTAAAATATTAATATTCTTAATAAAGAGGTGCATCGTCGCGATTTTCTATTTCTTAATTAAATAAAATGGTGAAATTTTGGAATTTTATAACCTCTTCTATCGATTCCTGAAGTTATCCAGATTAAATCTGAATCACCCTGTATATATACTGCGCGTGAGTGAGTATGTTCGCGGATGTATTTTCAACGAGAATATTCAAATGTGGCCTTTAGCCTTTTAGCAATTTATGGCGTAAATATTGAATGATACATTTAGAATAAATTTTTGAAAGCACACGGTAGTGATGTTTGTAAGATATTGATAGGTTTTTGTAAATATGTATTGTGAAAGTTTAGAAAAGTGATTTTAATAATTTTTCACTTACCAATGTTGCATAGGTAATATTATTATAGTTATTCTAGTAGAAAGGCACATTTCTTGAAACGATGAAAATATTTATAAAGAGTATACAGATACAAAAAAAATATAATTTTTGCGTTTATCTTGCCTTCAGAGACAAATTAGTTATTTTGTGCAATTGTGAGACATAATACATTAAATAATAGAAACTATATTCCATTCTTACAGGTTTGTTAGTTGTCTTTTTTAGAGTATTAACATTTTCTTTTGGAATGTGGTTTTTATACTAATTAAGAGTAGTCCAATCCTTTGTTACCTACCTGTACTCTGATTGTTGTAGTAGGTATTTCCGCCATAAATTGCATATATTTATACATTTTACCCATGTCAGGACTTTGGGAGTGTTTTTGAGATTGCTAATGTTCTCCTTTTGCATGTGTTTTTGTACAGAAGCTAAAAAGCAGCGGAAGAAGAAAAGTTTAACAGGTGAATAAAATTTTTCTATTTTTATACAAATTATTAAAGAATATTGCATAATTTAATTTAACTAACAATTAAATCATTTCATTTAAATGTACTTTGATTAACTAATCCTAACACGAGCATGTTCAAATTAATTATATTGTAATTGTTTTGATATGTCGTGTAATTTGTTGTTTGCTGTAGTGCACTTGATCGTTAGACTATTTTAATAATCACATTCATTTAGGAGATGAAGAGAATGTTACTGGTAATAGCCACATGAATTCACCCGCTCCAGTTGCCAATAAACATGATGAAGCACAAGACGGCAAGGAAAATCACGTTTCTGCAGAAAAATCTTCATCAGATAGTCATAGGAAGGAAAAGTCTGTTCTTCAAGCTAAACTTACTAAGCTTGCCATTCAGATTGGTTATGCGGGTTCGACCATTGCAGTTCTAACAGTTCTTATATTGGTCATAAATTTTTGTATTGACATATTTCTTACTAATCCAAGACCTTGGAAAAACACATATGTTAACGATTTGGTACGTCACTTCATCATAGGTGTTACTGTACTTGTCGTGGCGGTACCTGAGGGGCTGCCATTGGCCGTAACTCTGTCTTTAGCCTATAGTGTTAAGGTAAGATTTTCGCACCAAACATATATATAT